TTTACGCTTCGTTGCGGGTAATTCCCCGCAGCGCGTCGCTCCGTCTCTCTCGCACTCGTGGCCGAGCCGAAGGGGTGCGAGAGCGACGGAGCGATGCGGGTCGGTGCCGTCCTTGCGCGCTTTCGACGCGACGTACTTACAGCTCGGACTGTTCGGAGCGTTTTCTACGGGCCGCGCGCGGCAGTCCGGCAGCGCACAGTGGGCCAGAAGACCGGTGGAGGCGACCAAAACCCCGGACGCGTTTTGAGCTCCAGAGTCGCTAAATGGGACTCGAACCGAGCGTGTGACCCCACCAATGGATTGCTCTCCGAACGAGGAATCCATTGGTGGGGTCACACGCTCGGTTCGAGGCCTGTTTAGCGACTCTGGAGCTCAAAACGCGTCTAGAGTTTTGGCCGCCTCCACCGGTCTTCTCGCCCACTGTGCAGCGGCCGGCACTTCTCGGTCCGTCTCTCTCGCACTCGTGGAGAGTGCCACAGGGGTGCGAGAGAGACGGGGCGAGGAGGGCGGCATTGATGAAGCCGTCCTGCCTGTGTGGCCGATCGGAGATACCGCGCTGAGGGCCTTCTTGGCCTTCCTGGCCTCCGACATCGCCGCCGGCACCCCGGGCTTGGCCTGGGTCCTGCGCGCACTGCGGGGCGCGGCCCGGCGTGGGGCGGGGCGGGGTGGGGTGCGGCGGGGCGCGGCGGGGCGCGGCGGGGTGGGGCGTGGTGGGGCGTGGCGGGGCGTGCGGTGGGGCGTGGCGCGCGGGGGCCGTCCGTCAGCACACCGTCGTCTTGTCGTCACAATAGGCCATTTCATTCTTTATGAAGAAGAAAAATTACTGAAAATTAAACCGAACTCCTATTTCTTTTTACACCGCGCCGGCGGCAGCAGCGTAGCTCCCGCAGGAAACCCGTGCATTATCGAAAGTCTTTCTTCCTTTTTCCTTCCCATCTGGGATGGAATTCAGCCCTCATTGTGTCGCCACGCTGCGCCGCGCGGTGCACAGTGGAGGCCAGAAGACCGGCGGAGGCGGCCAAACCTCCAGACGCGTTTTGAGCCCCAGAGTCGCTAAACAGGCCTCGAACCGAGCGTGTGACCCCACCGATGGATTCCTCGTTCGGAGAGCAATCCATTGGTGGGGTCACACGATCGGTTCGAGTCCCATTTAGCGATTCTGGGGCTCAAAACGAGTCTCGGGTTTCGGCCTCCTCCGCCGGTCTTCTGGCCCACTGTGTGGTGCCGCCGGACCCTCCACCACGCCACCATAAACACCGGGCGATTCGTAATAACTCGGTCGCCATGCAGCGTCACGCAATTAAAAATGTAAGGCAATGACGGCAGCGTGATGGCATTCGGTCCGTCTCTCTCGCACCTCTTCGGGACGCCCCACGAGTGCGAGAGAGACAGAGCGACGCTGGAAGGAACCAGCGCACAGTGGGCCAGAAGACCGGTGGAGCGGCCAAAATTCTAGACGCGTTTTGAGCTCCAGAGTCGCTAAACAGGCCTCGAACCGAACGTGTGACCCCACCAATTGATTGCTCTCCGAACGAGGAATCCATGCGACGGTCCCTATCGATAGGCACGTAAGTCCGAACGGCGAGAACGTAAGCGCGCAAGTCCGTCCGCCCAGGACATACCGTCGTATCTCGCCCGGGTCGCGACGTAGCGTGCCATGTAGATACGGAATGATGCAACGTTAGCACGCTACGTAGCGACCCGGGCGAGATACGACGGTATGTCCCGGGCGGACGGACTTGCGCGCCTACGTTCCCGCCGCTCGGACTTACGAGCCTATCGATAGGGACCGTCGCATTGGTAGGGTCACACGGTCTGTTTGTGTCCCATTTAGCGACTCTGGAGATCAAAAGGCGTCTTGGCCGCTCCACCGGTCTTCTGGTCCACTGTGGGCGGCGCTCGTAGACACGCCGTCGTCGGCATGGCTTATCACAACGCGGCGGCCGTCCATCATCGAAAAGAGAGGGAAACAATTGGAAAACAAACGCGATGGCTGCGCGCATGTGGCTTTCTGCAATCGCAATAACAATCCGTCTTCCAGGGAACCAGGACGGCGACGGCGTTGCACCTGAAAAAAAAAAACCCGGGGTCCTAATTACTGGCTGTGTTCTAATTCGGGCGGCCGGCGTGCATCCGGGCGTCGCGGCGCCGCAGCAGACTCATTCCGAGAGTCGCTTTCGTCGCTCTGTCTCTCTCGCACTCGTGCGGCGTACCGTTCAGGTGCGAAAGAGACAGCGCGACGAAAACGACTCTCAGTGTGCAGCGACGGAGTCGGACGGAGTGCACCCTGGAGGTCCCAAAGCACAATGGGCCAGAAGACCGGTGGAGGCGGCCAAAACTCTAGACGCGTTTGGAGCTCCAGAGTTGCTAAATGGGGCTCGAACTGAACATCTGACCTCACCAATGGATTGCTCCCCGAACGAGGAATCCATTGGTGGGGTCATACGTTCGGTTCGAGTCCTGTTTAGCGACTCTGGAGCTCCAAACGCGTCTAGAGTTTGGGCCGCCTCCACCGGTCTTCTGGCCCACTGTGCGGAGGCAGGCCGGGCTGTGGACCGTCCCGGAGGAGCTGCTTGATAAAACCCGGAGCGGGGGGGGGGGGGGGGGGGGGGAGGGGGGCGCCGTGATCCGGAGACGCCCCGCACGACCGAGCCGCGCCACGCTGCACGCCCACACGCCCACCGACAACGTCATGGCCCGCGGCGCCATCGCGGCCCTGCCGCAAACGGCCCGGGTTCGAATACCGACGGCTGCTTTTTCGGATTAGGACTTTTTTCCGGCCAATAGATTGATTCCGCGAGTGGTTTCCGTCGTTCTGTCTCTCTCGCACCTCTACGGAACGCCATTTGCGAGCGAGAGAGACAGAGCGACGCTCTGCCGGTCTGCTTTTCCAGTTTGGTGACTAGGGGCATCCGATTGGCGACACACTGACCACTCTGTCGCCGGCAGCCCGGCCATGCAAAATGTGTTCTACATCGTTTGGCATGCGTCTGCCCGGCTTGCCCGACGGCCAGGGGGCTCGTTCCGAACGGCGGATCTCGTCAGTCTGTCTCTCTCGCACCCATACGGGGCGCCCCGTGGGTGCGACAGAGAGAGAGAGAGAGAGAGAGAGAGAGAGAGAGAGAGAGAGGGAGAGAGAGAGAGAGACCTCACTCTCGGAGGAGTCGGTGTGCAGCCCGACCTACCGGCCCTGCTCCGCTGCGGGCGTGGCGAGGCGTGGCGGGGGAGGGGGGAGCCCCTCGGGGGTTGGCTCGCCCGTTCCGCTCAGCCGTCGTCGTCGTCGTGTCGGAGCGCGATAACGATTTATGCGAAAGAAATGAGGAGTGCCGGTCGACTTTTGGAGGAAGCGCGAACCCGGATGAACCGGCGCGCCGCCCGCTGCAGTCCGCTGCAGTCGCTCTGTCTCTCTCGCACTCGCGGTGCGCGACGCAAGGGTGCGAGAGAGACAGAGCGGCGACGGAATCTGGCGGCGGCGGCGCGTTGCACTGCGGTGTAGTGCGGAGCTGGACGTGATGTGTTTGAGTGATAGCCATCTCTAGGTGGGGCCAGACCCGCCAGCCGGCTTGGCGGCTCGGAAAATCATCGCACCTCCTTGAGCTCGTCACCCCTCCCCTCCCCTTCCCCTCCCCTCGTCACGGCGATAGCCATCGGAAATAAATCGCCGAACATTGTCGCGCGGTACCGCCGTGCATGCCTCGGAGGGGAGGGGGGGCCCAAGCCCCCCGGGCGGGGGCGTTGGTTGCCCGGCCCCCATTTGTCTCTCTCGCACTCATGGGCTGTCCCGTTTGGGTGCGAGAGAGACAGAGCGATGAAAGTGCCGCGGGTCGCGCCGCGCAGGGCGTTGGGACGACGTGCCGACGGCGGCTGGCGCACAGAGCCTCCGAACAGTGCCTCATCGCTCTGTCTCTCTCGGACTCGTGGGGCGTCCCGTACATGTGCGAGAGAGACAGAGCGATGAGGCTCCGCGCAGACGGGCGGGGCAGCGCCATTCCCCTCCTCTCGGTCTGCAAATGCAGCAAATGCTACCGCCACGGCGTTCTGGCACACTGACTCCGAGAGTCGTTTTCGTCGCTCTGTCTCTCTCGCACCTACAAGGGACGCCCCATGAGTGCGGGAGAGACAGAGCGGCGAAAACGACTCTCGGAATCAGTCTGCGGACCGCGGCCGTGGCCTGGGATGGCAACGGCGCTGTAAATTTCGCAGTGTCATAAATGGGCGGTCGCGACAGTAATAACACGGCAGCCTACACTGCGAGGGATGCGCCGCCACGCTGGCCGTGGCTGGGCGAGGGCCGTGCCAACTAGGTCTTCCCTGCCGCCCTGCCCGCCACGCGGACCAAGGATGCCAAGTCAAGTTCGAAACGCGCAGCGCGCAACCGCCAGATGGCGCTAGCACGGCAAACCGTCGTTTTCGTCGCTCTGTCTCTCTCGCGCCCCTTTGGAACGCCCTATGAGTGCGAGCGAGACAGAGCGACGAAAAGGACTCTCGTAATCAGTCCGGAGGCGAGCGCCAGCGGCAGAGCCTGCTTCTGGAGTGGCTATCAGGTGCAGGCATGCGAGCTGAATTTAGCTAGTCTCAGCGGAGGCCTCAGCCCAGCAGTGGGAGGGCAGACAGTCAGCATTGTCAAGTCCACTTCGTGTCATGCCGCTCTGTTTGCCCACTTTCAGGCTGATAGTGTACCGCTATTTGCCTACATCACAGGCGCCTTTCTAGTGCCACAAAGAGGGTGGGGTCATGACCCACCTCACACACACACACACACACACACACACACACACACACACACAGAGAGAGAGAGAGAGAGAGAGAGAGAGAGAGAGAGAGAGAGAGAGAGAGAGAGAGAGAGAGAGAGAGAGGCACGCAACTACAGCCACAAACAAGCATACACCCCTGTCCCTGTGCAGCACGTCACTGCCGACGTAAAGAGCATCAGCTCTCAGCCGCGCTTCTGGTACCAACTGACCGTCCGTCTAAAGCGAAGTTTCGTCTTCTGCTTGCAGGTGGCGGCTGACCCAGCTGCTTGACGCCCTCGCCATGGAGTAGCCACCAGCGAGCCGCCCAACGTCACCGTCGTCGCATCCGGCTGCACCATGGAGTTTTCGGAGGCCTTCCGGCCCGAGGACATCGCCAAGACGGACTTCTTTGACTTCGTGGTGACGCCAGAGGACAACGACATGGTGCTGCACAACAACTTCCCGGCCTGGTCGCGCAAGTCCATGGGGCTGTTCGCCAACAACAACAACAGCAGCACGGAGGACGCCAATGGCTCCGTCAAGGAGACCAACAACAACAACATCCTGCCCAACTTCGCGGTGGACGACTCGTTCTGGGACACTGGCGGGGTGACGAAGGCGGCGTTTGCCGCCGCGGCCGCCGCCGTCAACATCAAGATGGAGTCGCCCTCGCTGGAGGACATCAACGACATTTGCTGGCCGTCCAACTGCAGCGTGGCGACGCCGGAGCCGGCGGACGCCACCAGGGACAAGGACACGGACGGGTCCATCTACACCCTGACGGTGGTGAACGGGCAGGACGCGCCGCCCGGCGGCCAGCCCCTGCCGCCCGGGGGGCAGCAGCCCGGGGGCCAGCCGCCCGCGGCGACGCCCGCAGCGCCGCAGCCCGCCGACCCGGAGCCGCCGCCGCTGTGGTACCGGCCGCCCGACCTCAGCAGCATCCTCCGCGAGGGCGACGAGCAGCTGCGGCAGGCCATGTCCGCCATGGACAGCCAGTACCAGACGTCGCTCGACATCGACTCCATCATCAGCATCCTGCCGTCCATGGACGAGCCCCTGCACGGCGACATGACCCACGGCGCCATGGGCCACGGCCTGTTCGCCGCCGGCACGCCCAGCGAGGACCTCGTGGAGGACAGCGGCTTCGTGGAGAGCAAGGAGGACCAGATGAAGTCGAGCGGGCGGGGCGCACTGCAGGACGACGGCCGGACGGCGTACAGCGAGAACAACAACGACTGGGCGTACTCCAACCACAACGACAACTCGGCCGCCGAGTCGCTGCTGCGCAGTGCGCTGCAGGGCGGCAAGTCATCGTACCTGAGCCAGTACTCCGGGCCCGCGCACTCCGCACCGCACTCCGCACCGCACTCCGCGCAGCCGGCGTCGCACCAGGACCACCTCCAGGACGGCAGCAAGACCCTCACGGAGCTGGGCCCGCCCGGCAGCGGTGGCGGCGCGCCGCCGGACCACGCGTCGCTGGGGCTGTTCATGAGCGGCGACGGCATGCTGCCCATGGAGGGCATGCTGTTCGACGACAGCGGCGGCGGCATGTACGCCAACGGGCCGGCACCGCCGCAGTGCGCGTCGGCGTGCTCCTCCACCACGTGCATGGACGACATCCTGCTGTCGCCGCTCGACGACTACGAGAAGCTCAAGATGATCGAGAACGAGGTGGCCGAGTCCGCCAAGCGGTACGGCGTGCCGCACCACGGCGGCCACTACGGCGCCGCGCCGCCGCCGAGCATGGCCGCGCCGCACGCCGCGTCGCCCCACTCCAGCACGCCCGCGCCGCGCCCCAAGAAGAAGTCCGCCAAGCGCGGCGGCGCCGACCGGCCGCCCAAGCCCAAGGCGTCCGTGTCCACGTCGGCGACCTCCGCGGCCTCCGCCGCCACCAGCAACGGCGGCGCGCGCAGGGAGCGCTCCCTGCACCACTGCACCATCTGCAGCAAGGCGTTCAAGGACAAGTACTCGGTGAACGTGCACATCCGGACTCACACGGGCGAGAAGCCCTTCGCGTGTTCCGTGTGCGGCAAGAGCTTCCGCCAGAAGGCCCACCTCGCCAAGCACTACCACACGCACATCGTGCAGAAAAGCGAACACTTGGGGCCCGCCAAGGCCTTGTCCACCAAGGCGAGGTAGCACACCGCCCAGTGGCGGATCCGGGCCCGGCCTCAGGGAGGGGCAGAGTAGCGCTTTTTGTCCGCCAGCAAAGTGTGCCTTTTTGCCTGCCTGTCAGGCGGCTGGCCATGTTGCGCCCCTCTGGATCCGCGTCGGCCCTGCCGCGGGGGCGTCACGGTGTCACCAGTAATGCAAACCTTAGCAAATTTCCGAGTGTCGTTCTTGTTGTTTTACATGTTTTGCCAGTGTATTGGTCGGTGGATCTGACCACTACAGTGTACAGGGCGAAAAAGTTGGCCGTACTTTTGTCGACCGTCCCCCTATTGAAGCCGTGGCGCTGCCATCGCGACCCGCGCAGAGCGGGGGCCGTGGCCTGGGCCGAGGCCCTCATGTCGAACAGTACCTACTTGGATGAATCCATGACAAAGACAAAATGATTGTTCCTATATATCTCACTTCACGAGCTGTGATCTGCCTGTTAGTTTTTACAATTTTATTGTTCGTTTTTTTTGTAAGTATGGCATTAAGCCGCCATGTACATTATTTTTGTCAAAACTGTTTTGATAGAAAAAAAGAAGCGATATTTTTATACAGCTGCCTGCAAGCAGCGGCCAAATTGCCAAGTCGCCTTAAATGTGGTTGTAAAATT